TAACTGAGATAGCGATCCAGTCTGGAAAGGTAAACGATTACTTTTGCATTTCTAATTGACGAAAAAATATTACTATAGCAATGAGGTGAGTTAAGAGCTAATTTATCCACGTATTTAAGACGAATATACTATCGGCTTGCTGATTTAGTCGCCACATCTTCAAGATAGCTTTTGGTATCTATATTTAATAAATAATCCGATAAAAAATCATATAGGAGACTCATATTTGACTGAAATACCAAGAATAGGAAAGCTAGATGCATATGTAGCCATCACAAGGAGTTCCAAACGCCGAGCTTTTTCCTCCAAAGTAGGCAAGTCTGGTTGGTGACACCGATTTTTCTGGGAGAGTTTCTTGCATACTAGCGCGTCACCGGTCACAGGTCCAGCATCTGAAACTGTACGTCCTCGAGTATGGCCTATATGAGAAGGCCCATCACTAGGGAAGCGTCGGTTAAGGCCTGAAGGCACGTAAACAATCAGTTTGATTAGCACAGCAAGATGAGCCGAGATTCCAGGTTGCCAAGATTCGGAACAAAAGTGATCCAAAACCGAGTTAACATTAGTGATAGGGCTAGTATAAACCTGCCAAATGCGAGTGGTAACCGTTGCATCAACCGGTAAAGTTGTCGAAAGCGTCAAACGCCTGGAGGATAAGGTGGCAGCCAGACAGCTCGTCAGGGAGGTCAAAAGCGAGATAGAAATTGAATGGACACGGCTAACGTCATCAGGATGTGAGGTGGAGTCACTCTTCGGCGGAGATAAGAGATGAGTTAGATGGGCAAGAGCGTGTCGACGAACTTGGTTGTAGTTGGGATGTAAGCACAATAGCAGCAATGTGCGTTGAGCTTGCCTGGACATGTAACAATAAATAGCGTAGCATCAATGTCCATTTAAGCAGGGGATTAATATTAGTGAAAATAGGTGGTGAATGTCGAGACCCTCAACAGATTCAGTTATAGAGATAAGTTGCGTTCCCAAGGCATTGGAGAATAAGGCACTGAAAGCTCAATGAAAATAAGGTTTGATTTTGCCACTAAGTATCGGAGCCTACTATCCACTAAATGTGTCTGAGATCTATTTAAAAATATAATTCTCCCAGACTAGTGTATAAAGGATATGAAACTAAAGGCTTTTATTGAAACGTAAGTAGTTATTAATCCAACGTCAAAATAGACCACCATAAATAATTATTCACACCTTCGAATCAAACAATCCCTAAAATTCATCATATACAGGTTAAAAGACGTCAGTTGACTCAGCAAAAGAAAGCAATCATTCAGTCATAAACCCTAAAATCGCCAATATTCACTATAATTCAGCTTGGAATATATTGCACAACAGTGAGATTAAAACCTAATATAAAAATGTAAGGGATATCTAGACGAAAAAAAATCCAGCGGAACTTCTTATGAGCGAAATGTACTATATGAAGAAAAACTGGGGTGCGAATAATTCATTAGATATATTGTGACATTAATTTCTATTTGTTTGGAAGGAATTTGTAATGTGGTCTCGCTGGAAACCGAAAGAAGATTGTCACAGGGAAGACTGTTGTATTGTGGGAAAAAGTCCTTGGTTCACCGTCCTACTAGTTCGAGGAACCCATGCTAAGCTTTTGTCTGTACTGTGACAAACATCAGTAGAGCAAGAATCCATACTTTACGAAAAGAGCAAAAATATAATAAAACAAAAGAAAAGTTCGGCTGCAACCATAGTTGCTTTTTAATACACCTAGCCTTGCGATTATAATAAGGCATCCCATGATTTAGTTGGATACCTTAAACTTACTCTACATGCTTGCAAATAAGTGTAGTTACCTTACTAACCCAAAACGCGTTCGGTGGCAGCTGTATCCTTAAACAATTAAACTAGCGTGGGATCCCCTAATTTTGATTAATGTTTGGACTTGTGCTATTGTCTATTGTGTGTATGTAATGTACACTAATATCTAAGGCAATACAGCATTTAGAATTTACTCTAGATCAACATCCTAAAATGATAATAGGTAAAAATGTAGGCAAGGATTAAATCATTAGACTAATCAATTTAACAATTGTATGAATAAACACGGGGCTTGGCTATGGGAACATGCTTAACATATATTTTAGATAGTTTAGGGCCGCTTTTTGAATATAAAATGAATAGGGTTGCAATCGGGCACCTTTTATCAAGGCTCTATTTCGTAAAGTATGGATTCTTTCTCTGATGAAGTCTTTCGCAGTACAGACGAAAGCTTAGTATAGGTTAATTCGGGTCGCAGGAAAGTGAGCTGTAGAATTTATCGCACAATACAAGAGACTACCAACGCAGCAATCCTCCTTCCCTTTCCGGTGAGACCACATCACAAATTTCCTCCAAGAAACTTTTCCTTCGAAATAGAAAGCTATGTCATAATAGATCACCAAGGAATTCTTCGAAACCCAGTTTGTCCCCATATCAGACAAGTCTATCAAATTCGTTTTTTGAAAATTTGCTCCTCTATTATTACCTGACCTTATTTACCTTGATAAAGTTTTTCGACAGGCTAAAAAGGCATATTGTGGGAAATTTGGGTATACGAATTAACTTAGGAAACGACCTATATCTAATGAATTGAAAGGTAAGGAAAGTCGTTGCCAAAAAGTGGTAAATCTGTCCAAAACTTCGTAGGACATTTATACTGAAGAGGCTCTAGCAAAGGCCTTGAACTTTTCCTTTCCAAATGGTAAGGACATCAAATATGAAATTGTGGAAGAATTAAAAAATTTTGACAGATGGCCTCCTAAAAGATACATGGAGTAACATTGAATTACAAGTTGTCCCTTTAATTGATGGCCATGTAGAAGCAGCATATGAGAAGAAGGCAGTTAATACTACGATAAGGAACCTTAGGGCGAATGACCAATTAGTATTAAAGGCAAATCAAGGAGAAGCAGTAATAGTTATGGGTATGACTGATTGTATAGAGAAAATGTTAACGGGATTAGACGATGATATAACATAAATAACTATAGAAGTTGTTTGACCTTGTTCTCGCAACATGGTCATATTGGTAGGAAGACTCATTGGAACGCACCTGGTCCGGGGTCCATTGTCTGCATGATCATTTCCAAAGTT